TCAAGATTGATGACTGTTGTCTATCTGACCGTACTGTAGCACCCTTCAGCATGAGGACCTTGTTCTCAAGGTCATAGGTCACAGGTCACATTCCTAAATTGACATACATGCAGTCTTTTCACACACAATTTTTTAATTCCCCAAGGCTAATCAGAGGCTATGGTATTTTGTAAATATAAGTAATTGAGCAGGTTATTGTAAGGGGATGTAGTACAACCTTTTTTTTTACATCAACATTGTCTGTCACCGTCATAATTGCTATAATGTTAGTTTAAGTCATCATTAAACTCCAGCAAAAGGTCAGCCTGTGAGACCGTCCAAGCATCCATGTAAATCAACAACATGTCAGTGTCAGCATGTCTTCGATCATGTCTGCTCTGTCTTCATCGCTTTCAGGCTTTGCTTTTTTTCTCTTTGTCTGCCTCCCTCTGACCTGTCTATTTACCCAGCAACCCCCTCTGTAACAAGGACCGTTCGTTCATCAGCCATGTTTAAACTGCAGACAGGATTAACTTGGCTAAAGACTTAATGCACATGCACAGTCACCCCATGCTCTGTTTGCCGTTTCCAGGCCGCAGATCGACAAGCTGCTCTGTTAGGCTTTTCTTGCTTGTTCTCAATCTCTCTGGGCTCCCTAGGCCTCCTCCTCCTCCTCCTCCTCCTCCTCCTCCTCCTTCGTCCTCATTTCGTATGAATTAATTGAGTTCTCATTTTTGTGAGAAAGCTCACAGGAGGGCTGTGTGAGGAGAGAGAGAGGAGTGATAGAAAGAATGCAAGAGACAGAGAGAGAGATCAGTGGCATAAGCCTAGGGGGCATAGCTCTCCCAGAGGTAGGCACTCGCCAGTTTCCTGGGGGATGTTGAGGCCCCTCTGCAGTGACTTATATCTTTATCCTCTCAACAGTCACCCCTCAGCACTTCAGGGAAGACCCATAGGCTTGTGGTCATGGTCAGGCAGATGTGCTTCTTCACTCTGCCAGCCCAAGGGAGGCTGCCACCTAATTTAAGCTCTTTGTGTCTGTAAAGCTAAAAAAAAGTGGAAACACTACTTTATTTTCTTGATAAAATGTTGTACTCTTGTAAATTACTTAAAAAAAGACAAGTGAGACGGACAAATTAATTATGTACGTAATTTACTTCAATTGTATTTGTATAGAGCCAATTAAAGAAAAAAGAGAGAAGGACAGAGACAGACATTAGTATTACTAGCAGTGGGGGTCCACGGCAGCAGGCACAACCAGGTTCCATGAGAACCTGCAAGACGAGAAAGCAGTCAGTGGGGTAGAAGTGAAGTTATTAACATGTATTAATGGGACATGAATGTGTGCAGATAGAGAGTGGGAGTAAGAGAGGAGCTCAGTGCATCATGGGAAGTCCCCCAGCAGTCTAGGCCTATAGCAGCATAACTAAAGGATGGTTCAGGACTCACCTGCCAGCCCTAACTATAAGCTTCATCAAAGAGGAACGTCTTAAGCCTACTCTTAAATGTGGAGAGGGTGTCTCCTGAACCTAAACTGGAAGCTGGTTCCACAGGAGAGGAGCTTGGTAACTGAAGGCTCTGGCTCCTGTTATACTTAGAACTTATAGGAACCACAACTAGCCCTGTACTCAGAGTGCAGTGTTTTAGTGGGGTAATAGGGTACTATGAGCTCTTTAAGATATAAAGGGGCCTGACCATGAAGAGCTTTGTAGGTGAGGAGGATGATACAGCACTCTCTTTCTTTTTCGGCTGTTTATGAAACTAGCCAGCAAGCTCCCCAACAACCAAACGAGACAACTCAAAAACCAACCAAGCAAATTTTACTTATGTGCAAGTATATTTTGGAAAGCACCATGCTGAACCAACACAACTCTCATTGTGCAGGGTTATGTGGGACATGTGATGCTCCCCCAAAGTAAATGCTAACCAAAGTGCTAAATATGTGACCGAAGGACTAGGTAGTATTATTGCTATGGGGAAGACCCACAAGCAGGACATGATATTGTGTTTTGACTTTTGTTTAACTCTTAGAAAAAAAACTACATGTGGAACTTGTTTGCAATAGCAGGCATGCACCCGCGGACTCTACCTTGGCCTGAACCGTTTCAATTATGAACCATTACAACTTCTCCCCTTGCAATATTCATGCACAGGCAGATCACTCCTTCAGATGTCTTAGGTTGCTGTAAGTTGAGATAAACACTTGCCGAGTTGTAACAGCCAATCGCCCGCCTCTATTCCTCAATGTCACTGCCTTAGCACTCAATAATTCAAAGCTTGGCGGTAATGAGCTCCCCGTAGGCCCTGTCCCCAAGGAGCCTCCCCACTGTGCCTCCACTGTAATGTAGTTATATCTCATGTCAGCTTTCAAATCAATTACATTTCTATCTGATGGCTATGTAATTGTGCCTGATTGAGTTTTTGGCATGCCAGCCAAGTGTGTGGTTCCCCAACTCAAGCCAGTCAAAACAGGAAGCTTCATCAAATGAAATTGTATTTCATCCTGATTGAGGCTGCTCGCATGATAAGCACAACTGTAATTATGATAATAATAACAATAGCAATCTGTGTTTTCTCAGCTTTGTTGTTTTTTTCCCCCTTGCTCTCCAGATGAAATTTTGCCCCAAGGACTACGAACAACATTTGCTTTACTCAAGATGCAAAGGCTGATTTGATTGTTTGTAGCATGTGCAATTTAGTAGATTAAATACAAACCATAATGCTATTGTATAAATTTTAAGTGTCTGGATTCTCAGTTGGTTTTAGTCTAGCAGACCTTTTTTCTGCAGGACTACACTTTGTGACTAGAGCCATAGTCATATTTACATCTTGTGCTTATATTTTGTCAGATGTCAGACATATAGTGTCCTGCTGCCAACAGAAGTCATGCTGTCTTTTGGCATAATGCCTAGAAATAACAAGCTAACCTTTTACCTACAGCAACTAGCTGACAGCTAAGGTCAGAGCAATATTGTTGTATGTGTCAGATCTTTCAGAGCAGAATTTTATTTAACACAAGATTTGATGGCTTGATAGATGGGTAGATGGCTGGACAGACTGAAGGACATATGGATGGACACAGGGATGAGTGGGTGAATGTACACATGGATGTCCGAATGGATGGATGGATGGATGGAAGGATGAATGGATAGACAAATGCACACATGGATGGAGGGACGAATGGAAATACGGATGGATAGATGGATCAACAGAATGCATGCCTGGATGGACAGAGGGAATACTCTAATGGAGTGGTATTGAGATAGATGAGGGGGAGGATGCTGTGGTTAGGTGCATCAGCAACTAAATAGAGATGAATTGTGGCTGCTGTCAGCAGCACTAAGTATAACAGACATAGTAAAGAAGCCTGGCTCATCCATAATCAGCAGACACAGATTGTCTTCATGCCAAAAGAGAACTTCTCTGGAAATAAAGCACTGAGAGCATCTACCAATCTGTCTTTCTATCCTCACTTCATCATCCTTTTTCTTTTTATATCTCCTTACTCTTGGTGTTCTTGCCCTTTAAATCTCCTCACTTGTATTATTCTCTCCTCATTTCTCTTCTTAAGGTCTTGCTTCTTTCTGTCTGTCTCTCTCTCTTTCTCCGACACTGTCTTTTGTGTTAACAGCCTTCCATTTTTTTGCAGTGGGAGAGCCACTGGGTGCACATCTACAATCTTGCCTTTCATTTCATGGCTTCTGGAAATGGATGTTTTACTGCCTTCATTAAGGCATGCAGCAGTCAGCACCGTGTTTTCCCTCTGAAGTTTAGCTCCATGAACCTCGCCATTAGAGGACATTATGGCCCCAGATTTCAGGGCACAGTGGAACACTGTATAATTTGATTAGTGTTATTAATCAAGTGGAATACCGCTCCTTTCGCCCCCATCTCCCTCCCCTCCTCCTCCTTTTTGCCATTTCACTCCTGCTTTCAAACCCTTTAGATGTTCCCCTTCCCAACTTCCTCCCTTTATCCGTGCACCTCTCTATGGTCTGTGCTACAACACACACACGCAGTGCAAGTGACAAAAGACCTTACGCCTTCCCTTTTAAAAACAATGATTTACCACTTGTTTTTTTCTCCCCCTTCACAACCCCCCACCCCTCTCCAACCAGTGCCCCCTCCTCTTCTTAGCTCAGGACATAAATCAATTGAGATGAAAGTTCCATAATTGTGCTTGCTGGGAGGGATTTGAGCAAAATTGCGCTATGAATTTTTTAAAGGGAATTTTTACTAGCTGTTCAGCGAGACTTGGGAGGCGAAGGAAGGTGAGGCCATGAGGATTTATGGGCCTGGATTCTTCATTACTGAAGTAATTTTCCTGCAAATGATAGTGCAGCACCCTGGAGGGGGGAGCGCTGCCCGCCTGGGAGAGTACAAACCTGCTTAATCTCTCGTGGAGAGAGAGCAGCTCAGAGCACTAATATCATCTGTAAGCGACTGAGGCTCCATTTGTTCACATCTAAACCGCAGCTAGTGTATTTGTGATTCATAGTAATTGATTGCTCAGATTTGTTCCAAGAGTAGCTATACAAGTTGATTTCATTACGGAGGACAGTTTTGTTAGAACTGCTAGGGAGTCTGCTCCGGGGTCATTTTGTAGGAGTGTACGTTTTTTTTTTTTTTAGACATTTCAATTTTTCAGTATGTCTAATCACGTAATCACAAGTACACTAGCTGTACATCTGCACTGCAGTGGCTGAGGGATTATTTGGGCTAGATACTACATTGTCTTATTATAAAATAAAGACGGAGCTGGGAAAGACAAAGAATTCGAGAAGAGAAAAGGTCAGTTTAAATGAAACCTAACACTTTCTCTTTTTTCTCTGTCTGTGATTGACAGCCTGTCATCTATCTGTAGTTTGTATGTCCATTCTCGTCATGATTTAGATCTGCTTTGCCTTATTGTGTCTTCAGCAAGGGTCTCCATCTTTCTCTCTACCTTTGGTCTTTCCTCCTTTCCTCATTTTAACCTTCCTCAGTCCAATATGGCTGACGTTCTGTCTCCATCTCTTTAGGTGCAGCCAGCAGCAGTGGCCCTCCTCAAGGTTAGTGCGTCCACGATGCCAGGTCTCATTCTTTATCCTGCCTACCGTCCACTCAATTTTACAGCTCAGTAGCTTGAGAAGCAGAGGGGGTAAATCTGCTGCAAGAAGGAAAAAGAGAGAGAGGGGAGGAGGAGGAAGGGAGAAACAAAATTATTGTGCACCCTGTCGCCAATTGAAGTGGATCTCATTCCAGGCACACTAACAACTCAAGACAATTAGTCACTTCTCACTAGGCCAGACCTGAGACTCACTTGAGGGCCAAAAGGAGGCAGGGAGTAGAGGACCCACAAGCATGGCTAAGCACTGCAGGAACAGGAGCGAGGGAAGAGAGAGGCAACTTAGGGATGAAATGGCTCTGAGTTCTGCTGGAACAGCTCCTTGGGGCCTTTTTGTCTTTTTGTGCAACTCAACTGAGATAGAAATAGGAGTATGGAATGTAGGATTAATGCACTGATAAGTCATAAAGATGTGTACAAAATACTGCTTACAAATATCCTAAATGTGAATGATTGTTCTTTTTGTGAGCATGCATTAGATAGATTTTTCCAGATTATCATGCATATTTTCCTAAATTTGATAAAAATGCAGTGATTGTCTATATTCATCTTGATCTACTGGTAAATAATGTGTCACGCATAGCCGTTCTTTTATACCATTCATCAAGATAAAGACAACAATGTCAATAGTCTGTTACATTCCACCTATTAGGCGATCTAAATCAGTTTGCAGCCAAAGATGAGCCCTGAACCTCCAGCCACCACATGCTCCTGAACAAAAGTGAAGCATGACTAAGGTGGGTGGTGCGTGGAAGATCAGGGGGTGGAAAGAGAGAAAAGTTTGTCCTGGTCCCTCTGCAGAGACGCAGCGTGACCAATTGAGGTGAAGGGGATGAATGAGACCATTCACTGGGCCTAATGAAAGAGTTCCTGCTGGGCCCTGAATGAGGGTGGGCCCATCTGCACCACATAGGCGTGCACAAACCAGTGACCTCGAAAATTACCCAGGAAGCACTTTGGGACAGTCACCCCAGCAACAGGCTGGGGTGCGCATAGTAACCAGGCGCTTCAGTTAGTGCCTGGCAGCTTCTTAACCAGAGCAAAGTTTTTCTCTGTGTTGAAAGAACTCTGTGTGATATCAGCTTCGATGGACACCCCCCAGGGGGAAGCTGCCAATGATTGTCCCATGTGAAAATGTCCAGGAGCTCTCACTATCTTTGAGAGGTGTGGGATGCTGCTGTCAGGACTTTTCCTGTCAAGACTCAAACAGTATAACAAGACCCTGTTTGTCTTAGCTACATAAGAACATGTGCTGCTTGAGTGTATATGCAGTGCTGTATCTAGGTTAATTAGGTTCATATATGGTGTAGTATAGTTTAGGAGGCTGTGAAATAGATCCAATTACAAAGATTCCAGATAAGGAGAGAGATTCCTTCTGCACCCCTTGGGACTGGACATTAAGTTTACAAGCATCTTCAAGGATCTGGTTCATTGGATTTTATCTATGTTATTTGGTTTAATATATTCAGTCTTGATGAGCCAGAGGCATGCAGGTCATTGAAGTTCCATTCCCGTCTCCATTCCTTCACGGAACTTTTGACAGCGTGAAATGACAATCCGCCCCTGCACGCATCTCCCACGTCAAAAAGTAATGAGATTGTGCTGCTGGAAATATCACTACAAAGCATCAGGCCTGCACTCGGGTCTGACTGCACCTTCAAACAGCGCTGCCTGCCAGCTCGCCTGCCTCGCCTGCCTGCTGAAAAAGAAGCGAACAAAAACAATCAGAATCAGAGACAGAGAAACGGCAAGGGAAGCTCCCCACGCTGAGACAAACGAACACGCCAGGGCCTTTCATCCTGAGAGTGATTAGCCATCCGAAACGTTTTAAAACCCCGCTTTGAGTGTGTTCCTCAAACGAAAGAGTTCCATTGAGGAGTGGTGGTGAGATGTTTCTCGCTGGGAAGCGCCAGTGATCTAGTCTCTAATTGTGGCGTCGCTGACAAGGCTGGTGTGGCTGGGAGCTTTTTAAGCGGGGCTTTTTGCTACGTTCTTGTTCCCTTCCTGTCAGATCCACCACCAAAGGCACCAGGGAACAAAAAGGCCCCTCAGATTCTGTTCTTACATCCATCTGCCTATCGCTTTGTGCATAAATACAGGCTTAATTTAACTCACTAATAGGCCCTGATGCTGGCCTAATGTGTCCAAAACTACAATAGGTGCTGTAAATATTGTGTTTGGTTGCAGATACGTGATATTATGTGATAACATAGTTTTCAGTCTGTATAATTGCTCTATTCATCGCTCTCGTGTTTGCTTTCATATTTCATTGATCGAAGTTTCTCAGCTGCAGAGAAGATTCAAAGATTCTGACACATTGGCAATAGTGTTACCTTTCTTCTGCAGTACAGCAGGAACAAAGTCATGTTCAAGGTCTTTGAGCGGCGTTCAGTAGATCTTTCAGAATATGGCACGGAAAACTTTTCGGATCCTGTACTGTTCAGTTGTCGAGGGTTTGAGAAATCGAAGAGAGGCAGTTTGAAGAATCAAAGTATCAGCGACACTGGGGGAAAGAAGGGGAGGAGTTGGAGGGAAAAGGAGTAAAACCCTAGCTCATAAAAATCAGTATTATAACAACATTAATTGATGCTGCTGAGTGCCATATGTGACGCCATATGGAAAAGCTGCCCCAGAGGCCTGCTATAATAGACAGCCCGCAGCGGTGCACACAACTTGGCACATTTACAAACAAGGGACGTCCCATTAATATCAGCCACGCAGACCGAGCAGGAGACAGTGGGAGAGGGAGTGAGAGGGTGTTAAAGGGAGGGAGGGGGCGAGAAATAAAGAGAGGGAACCAACCTAACTCGTATTTTTTGTTTGGTTGCTATCTTTAGTCCTCTTTTTTTTCACTATTCACCCACTTGTCCCTAACTATAAATTCTACCAAACAAAGAAATTAGTGTATGTGCATATCAGTATGCATTTACAATCTCTGCTCCTTTACTCCCACGGTTCCTTAATTACAGTAATAAATGGCCCCTCCCTTCTGGGTTGATCAGACCGCCCTCTGTCCGCCCAACTGTCACTCCCACCACAGATGCCCAGTGGTCCTTTCATCACACACACACTTCAGCAGGTGAGGTGATTCATGGCACCTTGACAAAGGCGGCGCAAACGAGCTCTGTTTAACCTCTTCTGTGCCTAATCACAGGGCAGCTGTTATTTACGGCTGCTGTCCACCATTTCCACTGCTTGGTTGCTCACTGCACTCTAACACTGCATTATGTCCTATGACAGCAACTGTGTTGATGTTGAGCATTCTGCAAGACATTATTCACTGAAAATGTCCATTTATGGGTGGTAAATGTTACATTAATTATATATTCATTTAAAATAGAATTTAATTAAGTGAATAGGGTATAACTTGTAAATAGTTTTGACATCACAGCTCTTAAAATGCAATGGGCACAATGTTTGGGTAATTCGGTATTTTGTGAACTCAAGTTGATTAACTGCCAGATAATCACGATGATGAATGATTAATTTAATTATCGAATAATCTGTTGATTATTGTTTCTACTAATCAATTAATCATTCAGTCGGTAAATGTATCTAAAGCATTTTTTGGCCAACCAACACTCCAAAATCTGCTGCAAATATTCACATTTAGAGGCTGTGAATGTAAGACATTTTGCTTGATAATAAATAATTAAAACTAACTAATGTTTAAATATTATTGAAGTGTTAAAGCTGACTGATATTTAGTCTAAGTCTAGAATGGCAGCAATGTGGCCAGAAAGTTTAAACTCTTTGAAGTTGACGCTTTTATCTCACGAAGATGTTTAGTTTTTCTTTCTCACATGATGTATGGTATCGTTAGCCCTGTGTGTGCCGAGGGGATCTGCAAACAGACATGTTATGCTATGTTACAGCCTCATATGGCCTGGATGTACACACTTCCGTTTTGTTCAAGGCTCTTCTGCCGTGCCCAGAGCAGGGAGGGAGAAAGAGAGATCCTTATGAAACGGAGTTGTCAGCCATTCTGTTGAGTTTCATAGAATGTGAGGCAAAACAAGAATATCGTACAGCTGTTTCCTCCCTGACACAGAGGGAGGCAGATGAAGAGCAAAAGAGAGAAAAGAGAGAAAGAGGGTGGGAGGAAGAGGGAGAGCGAGAGAAAGCTCTCCGCGCTGTGATGTGCACTGATGTAGCTGCAGCTCTAGGTCAAACGCTGCCAGTGTTTTGTGTTCATCTTCGTCTCGTCTCCCCAGTGCTCCTCTAAATTATTCACAGCCTGAAGATGTGCAATGTGGCAGCCTGCTCCCTTCCTCTCTCCCCCTTCACTCTGCATTGCTCTCTGTCTCTCTTTCTCTGTTTCCCATCCCTTCCTTTTTCTCTCATGTGACGGCTTGTTTCAGAGGCAATGAACAGAAGTTTCTCCTTGCAAGCTGGTTAATCCCCCCCACCCTACCCCACATCCACTCATCTACCATCAACCACCCACCTTTCATCACTGACTCCATCTCTCACACTCCTCCTTTCATCCCTGCTCGTCCCTCGCTTGCCTCTCCTGGCTGCCAGACTAGAGCCAGCCGCTTCTTTTTTTTAAGGGGGAGACTGCCAGCTGTTAGCATCAACTCTTTGGTATCTCCCGCTCTCCCCTACATCTCTCGATCTCCCTCATTTCATAGGTTCCACGATGTAGGGGTTGGGCTGACAGGGTGTTTCTGTTTTTTTTTTCCTATCGTCTCAAGTCTGTAATGATTTCCAGTGACTTTGTGCTCATTTTATCTAGCCGAGTCGAGAGATAAACCCCAAGTGCGCACCAAATCCTCAGGCCAGTCGATGGCACTGATTAAAGATGTACCCGTCAGTCATTTCACCTTTAACAGATTGCCAGTCCTGTGCAGATGGAGGGAGCTGTTAGAAACCAAGGGCACGGTGGGGCTAGGGTTAGGCGATATGGTGATATATAAGAAGATCAGAGTTGGTCAGTCATCA